AGGAAATTAGTGTCAGTAGTGTTGTATAGGCTTTTTGTATTTCTGGATTCAATCTGCTACCCTATTAGTAAGGATTTTTGCATCTAAGTTTGTGAGGTTTTGTTGTTTTTTTTTTAAGAGCACAAACCTACATTTATTTATTTACTTTACTTTTGTTTAAATCTGTGAAGGGTACAGCATCACACAGATTCTGTGTCCAACGGCTTCTGCAGGAAGGTTGCTTTGGAATTTGGCACGAAGCATGCCACTGTTCATGGACCTGAGTAACCTTTCCCCAGATTACTTTGGTTTAGTTTAGTTTGCCACCAGGAGGCACTGCTATTTTTTGCTTTATACACATAAGCACATCTCTTGCCTAAGTAGAATTCAGTTTCAACTAGGGTATAAACCCCTTGGATTTTAAGAAGAGTTGTATGCTCTCCTTGGTTCTGGAGACCTCACTTATAGCCAGCAAAAGTGGTTTTGCACCACAGCCTTCCAGACATATTTGTCTTTTAGAAGTCCTGATCCCAGCAGGCCCCAGTTACCTGCTCACAAAGTTCAGCAGCAGGAACTTCACTCCATGAGAGTTTTTAAATTGAAGTTTTCTTGTGATATTTTTGTTTGGCTTTGATACATAACATTTGATGATTTCTGTGACTGGTTCCAGGTTACCAAGGGTTTAATAACCAGCCTACAAATTTTTCTGGGTATTTAATAACTGGTTCCAGCACACTAGTGATACTACCTTTCAGGTATGCAGTAGATCTGGTCTTTTATCCACATGAATTATTTTTTATAATCATGTGTTTCTATTTGTTTCATATATATGCTTTCTTAAAATTTGGCAAAGAAGAAAACTGAACAGCAAGAGGTATGAAGGAATCTTCTGGAAGGATGAGTGACATACACACACATGCATACACACACATGCACACAGTGAGAGAGGCAAACAAACATCTGTTGAACCGTACTTAAGGTTTGTCATGTTGCAATGTCAGCGTGAGCCTAGAACTTCTTACTGGCTTCCACTTACTTTTTCTACTCTTCCCAATTCTTGAATATTTTTAGCAAAAGTTTCCAATGGCCACAGAGCATTTCCCTTTCACCCAAACATTCTGCACAAATGGTACCAGGTTCTTCTGGAATCCAAACTATTTCAGTAATGCCAGGGGAAAGGCTACAGAGAAAGAGAAGATAAGGGGTGGAGCAGAAAGATTCCATTCCCTAGCAGGGATGTTCAACCTTCTGACACTGTGACATGAAGATGCTATCATCTACAATACTCACACTCAAGAACTGCGCAGTTGGGCTGGGAAGATGGCTCATTGGGTAGGAACACTTCCTATGAAATCCTGATGACCTGAGTTTGATCCTTGGAATCAATGTAAAGGTGGATGGAGAACTGACTCCATAGAGTTGTCCTCCACATGCACACTATGGTACATGTGCCTTCACACTGTGTGTATGCACACACAGTAATAATCACACACACACACACACACACACACACGCACGCACACACACACACATACACCACACACACACACACCCCAACACACTAGTAATAAGGTTTTTAAAAAGAATTGCATAATACAGTTATTTAAAAAGAAACAAAGAAAGAAAAGAAAAAGAAAGAAAGGAAGGAAGGAAGGAAGGAAGGAAGGAAGGAAGGAAGGAAGGAAGGAAGAAAGAAAAAGAAAGAATCCCATAATGTTGCAAGTTTACAATTTTATGTTGGGACACATTCATAGCTATCCTTGGCTGCATGCAGTCTGCGGGTCACGGGTTAGACACGCCTGCTAGGGCTCAAAAACAATGCTACTGCCCCCACTCCTGAGTCAGTCAGCTTCTTGACAATTTCATTTTCCTCCTAGTTGGCACGTTTCATACCATATGTTATTTCAAGCTCTTTTCTTTTCTTTTTTGTTTTGCTTTTGAGACAGAGGCTGATCATGAGCTCACTACTATGAAGCCCAGGTGGCCTCAAATACTCAGTCTTCCTGGCTTAACTTCCCAAGCACTCAGCTTCCTCAGTTCTAGGATGTGTTTACCATCACACCTGGAACACCTCATTTTTGCAGTCCAATAAAAGCAACTGGCACCTAGAGGGTCTCAACATACACCGTGGAATCTACTTAGTCATAATTCCCTCACAGTTTCGGTACTTTACTCATATTTGATATACAATCAGAGAAGCTAAATGTTTCATTTTATGATTTTTTTTTTTTTTTTTTTTTTTTTTGTCTTTTTGAGATATGGTCTCCCCGTATCCCCAGCTGTCCTGGAACTCACTATGTAGACCGGGCTGGCCTTGAACTCACAGAGATCCGCCTGCCTCTGCCTCCCGAGTGCTGGGACTACAGGCGTGCACCACCACGCCCGGCTATGATTTATTTTTTTTAACTTTTATTTTTTTGGTGCAGATGATCAAATTTAGAACCTTACGCCAGCACTCTACCATTAAGGCACATGCCCACCCCTCATGGTTCTTTTGATTTTTACATTTTTGAAACACCTTAAAATGGAAGATGAGGTGGTATATCAATAGGAGTTAAATACTCAGTTTGTATTAATATGAAACTAAGATAAAAACAGTAAATTATGTTTATAAAAAAAGAAACATCCTTATAAGTAAATACTTTGTATTTACAGAGAAAACGGTACAATTCTCCTCTCTCCTCTGCCCATTTCATCCTGACCCACCAACCCAGACAATTAATATTTGGTAATCTGTTCTACTTGCCATGAAAAGTACTCTTCTGAAGCTAATGTACTCTGAACCAGAGTTTTATTCTATGTTTCCTTCCTCCTCAGGGAAGGTCCTACTTATCTTTCCTCCCTAGCACCCACACAGCCATGGGTAAATATGCAATAAAATTTTGTTTGTTCAACTTAAACATCATCTAGTGAACAGATAAACAAAATGTTGTATGAGATACATGGAGGACTATTATTTGGTAATGAGAAAAATTAAGTAGTGACACACACTACAATCTGAATCTTGAAAACATATTCAGTAAAAAGAGCTAGTCACAAAAGACAAGGTATGTTGTCATTTGTATATAATATCTAGATGAGGCAGCTCCATAGAGACAGAAGCATTAGTGGGTTCCAAAGTCTGAGGAGAAATGCAGAGTAATTTGCTAGTAGCTACAGGGCTTCTTTGGGGGAGTTAAATATACTCTAAAACTGGTTCTGGTAATGACTTTTTTTTTTTTTTTTTTTTTTTTTTTTTTTTTTGTCTTTTTTGGAGACAGGGTCTGCTTGTAGGCCCAGCTGGCCTGGAACTTGGAACTTGCTATATAGACCAGGCTGGCCTTGAACTCACAGAGATCTACCTGCCTCTGCCCCCCAACCCCCCCGGTGCTGGGATGAAGGCATGCACCACCATGCCTGGCTCCTGGTAATGATTTTTTAAAATCTGTGAATATACTGAAAACTATTAAATTGCTGGGCTGTGGAGTGGATTATATATGTCAATTATATCTCAGTAAAGCTGTTACAAAAGAAAAATCTTGTTTGTTTTTACTACCAAGTTCAATGGGAATCAAGAGAAAGTATTGGTCTATAACAGAAACGATGGGTAATTTTACTTCTCCCCACCAGGGTCAGTCAGCCTGGTAAGTGTATTTTTGGCCACTAGCCAGTGCTAAAGAGCCAGTGTGTACCAGGAAGGAAAGTATAATAGGCAGCAAGTCACTGAGTTCATGTAAGTCATTCTACATGAATACGTGAAGCAAAGCGATTTAAAGCACTGAAATTCCTCAGAATCAAAAGATCAGGAAATGTTAAGTCTTCTCAAACCTCATTCCAGTAAAAAGACTGATCTCCTTTGCTCTGTTCCTCAGTATGGAGATTGACTATTTGGTTATAAGATATCCATTTTTAAAATGATACTGCTGAGCTAGAGTCTACCACTATCTCTTTAACCTGAATTCTCGAAGAAATTTTCAGAAATTAACAGGGCCCTGTTTGTTAACTACTAAGCCATTTCCTGAGTTTGCTATGGTGTGCACATCTTACTCTATGGAACCTGTGACTATGTTGCCTTCCAGGCAGAAGGGGCTTTGCAGATATAATCAAATTTAGGATATTCAGGCAGGAAGATTATCCTGGATAATATGGGTGTACCAAATGCACTCATAAGAATCTTTACAGGTGGAAAGAGAAGGCAGGGACACTCAAAGTCAGAGGTGACATGATGATGGAAGCAGCAGCCAGAATAGAGTAATTGCTGGTTGGCATCATGATCTAGGCAATATGGACAGCCTCTAGAACCGCCTCTAGAACCAAGGAGACAAAGCAACATGGAAATACTCTTCCCTAGAATCTGCATTCCTGCCAACACTGATTCTCATGTTCTAACACCCACTTCAGACTCTCCAAAACTGTGAGATAATACATGTATGCTATTTTATGGTAAATTGTCACCACAGCAGTGGGAAAAAAATCCACTTATTCCTATGGGTATCATCAATACTAGGCCCAGAGGTATATGGCTATTTGTGGAGACCGTCTGCTTTTATTGCTCAAAATAAAGTATTATAGGCCGGGCATCGTAGCGCACACCTTTAATCCCAGCACGGGATCCCAGGCGGATCTTTGTGACTTCAAGGCCAGCCTGGTCTACATAGTGAGTTCCAGGACAGCTGGGGCTACAAGGAGACCCTATCTCAAAAGGACGAAAAAAAAAAAAAAAAAGATAAAGTATTAAAGTTGGGCATGGTGGCTTCATGCCTGCAATCCTGAAGCTAGCCTGGGAGACCCTATCTCAGAGAGAGAGGGGAGGGAGGAAGAAAGAAATATTGGCTTAACTGTCTCAGTAGAAATATTTTTCATTTTGGGCTAGGGAACTCCAGAACTCATCAGTAAAAGTTATAGTTTGATAAATGGCTATGGTCAGTATAGGTAATGAAACACAGAAAAATACAATTTTGTCACAGGGATTTTAAAACATGGATTTCATAACATTGCATATCAGTAACTTCAATTGTCTAAGTGTCCTCTGACTTTAAAAAATATTATGTATGCTGGGTGTAGTGGTGCATGCCTTTAATCACAGCACTTGGGAGGCAGAGGCAGGTGGATCTCTGTGAGTTCAAGGCCAACCTGGTCTACATAGTGAGTTCCAGGGGCTACAGGGAGACCCTGTCTCAAAAAGACCCCCCCAAAAATATTATGTATATAAGTATATGAGTGCTTTGCTTGCATGTGTGTAAGTCCACCATATGTGTGCAGTGTCCACGGAGGCCAGAAGAGAGCGTTGGATCCTCTGGAACTGGGGCTACTAATGGTTGTTAGCTGCCATATATGTGCTGGGAACTGAACCTGGGTCCTCTACAAGAGCAGCCAGTGCTCTTAACCACTGAGTCACCTCTCCAGCCATGCTTTGACTTGTGTTTTAGGGGAAGCTGAGATAGGCCAAGAAGCTTGGAATAGAATCTTTCATCTAAGGCTTGGCAGCAGTCTAGAAAGTATGACAGTAATGTCCTACAGATTATAAAGTGAACAGTAGCAGAAAAGGTTCTCATCTAAGTACAGCCAGTACTGAAGTAAAGGAATGACAAAGAGACGACGCTAAGAACTAGACACTATGTGACAATACCAACACTAATCACTACTGAGAATCTCAACCTCTCTATTTTTACTAGCAATTTGATTTTTAGCCTAATACAGGCACAGCCTCCAAATTTTCCTCATCTTTTTTTTCAAATTGAATGTAAAGCTCCTACAACTGACTATAATTCATAATGCGGCAAGAAAGCATAATATTTTCCAAAACTGTAAAATTGCTCTTATTATTCATGCTATTTATCATTCCCATTATAAAAAGATGTCTAACACTGGTATCATCTATTTCTACCTCCCCCACCAGGTTAATGTTTACAAAGAAATCTCTTCTTTACTTACAACTGCACAGCGCTGCACTTTTGAAGGAATTTCATCTTCCTCCGTTGCTCCATTAGGTCCGGGTGCCTCTTTCCTCCTCTTCCTCGAATTGACTTTAGCAGAACTCTGTGCATCCATCTTCTTTTAACTGCTCCAATAAAGTGGTAAAACATCTGTACCAGTATTGCAGAGACACTAATACACTCAGCAAAACATTAATTCCAGAGCATACATTTTACCAAAATGAGCCAGTGGCATCTGGCAAAAACAGCAAGGATTCATAAACACTGGCTCTGGTAGAAGCATAGAAATGTGTCTCTGTGGAACAATGGCCATAGTTAATCTCCTGACCTTGAAACTTTTTCCTAACAAGGAAGCCTATACACAGTTTATTTCATATCTTAACTGTGTTAAAAGATTAGAATAATTTGGATGAGAAAGCTAACTATTCAAATTGAGTTATTTGAAATGCCTGTGACCAGAATTATTAGATTTCAGAGTTTTTTGGACTATTTACATAATTTACTCATTAGGCATCCCTAACCTGAGAATCTGAAATACAAAACTTGTGAAATCTGAGAAATTTTTTAAAGATTTTTCTTTCTTTCTTTTTTCTTTCTTTCTTTCTTTCTTTCTTTTTCTTTCTTTCTTTCTTTCTTTCTTATTTGTGTGTGTGTGTGTGTGTGTGTGTGTGTGTGTGTGTGTGTGTGTGTGTGTGTGTGTGTGTGTGTGTGTGTGTGTGTGTGTGTGTGTGTGTGTGTGTGTGTGTGTGTGTGTGTGTGTGTGTCTTTTTGAGACAGGGCCTCTCTGTGGCTCCAGCTGGCCTGGAACTCGCTATAGACAAGGCTGGTCTCAAATTCACAGAGATCAGCCTGCCTCTGCCTCCCAAGTGCTGGGATTAAAGGTGTGCACCACCATGCCCAGCTAGATTTATTTTCATTTTATGTCTATGAGTGTTTTGCCTGCATGTATGTCTGTACACATGGTGCATTGCCCACAGATGCCAGAAGAGGGTGTCAGATCCCTTGGAACATGGTGGTTGTGAGTCACGTGGGTGCTAGGAACTGAACCCCAGGCTGCTACAAGAGCAGCAAGTACTCTTAACCACTGAACCATCTCCCAAGCTCCTGAACGTTTTTGTGTTTTGCTTTGCTTTGTTTTGTTTTTAGCAGACTGGGGCTAGTCAACCTGTACAACTTTACCCCTATACCTCCAGGGGGGAAGAGAGTTGAAACAGGGTCTTAGCACTGGCTGGCCTAGAACTCGATATGTAGACTAGGCTGGTGGTGACCCTTCTACATCTGTCTCTAAAATGCTGCAATTATAGGCATGCACCACTTCTCCTGGCTTACCACTATTCTTTATCACCTGACATGCCCACAGAGATATGGCAGGTACAAAGCATGTGAAAAGTTCTCTTTGGTACAAGCCTCCTGTCTCAGATTCCTAAGTGCTGGGATTGTAGGTGTGAGCCGCCTCCTGTCTCAGATTCCTAAGTGCTGGGATTGTAGGTGTGAGCCACCATGCCAGGACTAAAGCATAGACTTAACTCTAAATACCCTGTAGATTTCAGAAACCACTCACTCTACTAGAGTTAACCCTAGGAAAACTGTGGAGTAGAACAGTTTTTAAAAATGTCCCTTCCTAGCCGGGCATGGTGATACACAACCTTAATTCCAGCACTTGGGAGGCAGAGGCAGGAGGATCTCTGTGAGGTCAAGCCCACCCGGATCTAAAAAGCGAGTTTCAGCCCAAAAAGGGCTCCAGGGAGTCCCTTTCTCAAAAAAAAAAAAAAAAAAAAAAAAAAAGTTCCCTCCTAAATCAGCATGATAGCTCAGAGGGTGGATCAAGTTTGACAACCTAAGTTTGATCCCCCAGATCCACATGGTAAGAGAGAACCAACTCCTGAAAGCTGTCCTCTGATTTCTACATGTACACTCTGACATCTACACTATGCAAGTCGAGAGAGAGAGAGGGAGAGAGGAGGCAAAATACTTGTTACACATAAAGTAACAGTAAAGTAAAAAGTAAAAATCTTAAGTGTCTTTTCCCTTCCTTTTTCAGTACTCATTTCTCCTTCCTCTTTCACAGTAACCACCTCAAGCTGGTTCAGAGTGCCCAGTTACTAAAACACCCAGGATCTCTTTCTCCAAAGAAAATTCATTTTTTACTGTCTAATTTAGCAGACAGCTTCTAGCAACTAGCTATCATTGGTAAATCAGGATAGTCAAGGGTTCCTGATGAGATGTTGGCTTGTGCTACCTCTCTAGGGATATTTGCAGTTAAAAAAAATTATATATATATATGAAACTATATATAAATGTAATATATATTACATTTGTGTGTGCATGTGTGTGTGTGTGTGTGTGTGTGTGTGTGTATACACAACTTTCAGGAATTAGTTCTCTTCCACCAGGTGGGTCCTGGAGCTCGAACTCAGGGCTTGGTGGCAAGCACCGTTATCTGCTGAGCCATTCTGCCACAGTCTTATATTTGCATTTTTCTTAGATGATAAAATCTGCACAAATAAATTTCTTGATAGCAGTGAATTGTTAGGCATCATCCAGAAACTGGGGGTAAGGGAAGTTCTATGATCAACTGTCATTTCTGCCTAAGTTGATGGCACAGTGGAAAATCCTCAAAACAAAAGTGAAAAACAAAAGCTGGACAGAACGAGGACACCTACTCTGCCTCGATGCCTCCTGTAAGCACCCCCCGAACATCTAAACAACTGCGACTGGGCTGCACTTTCTTTCCAGCTAACATCTAAGCGGTAATGCGGTAAGATCTACAACAAACCTGACCTGATTCTTAGGAGACTGAAGGTGACTCCCCATGAGTCATGGCTAAGTATTAGCCCGACATAAAGAAATACCAGTCTAGAGTACAAGATGAACACCACCCAGAAACTATCTTTTATTATAAATGAAAATAAACAGGGAAGAAGGTATGGTATCTCTAGCACTAAGCTCTCCCAATGATAATCATCAGAGTTCTTCATTGTTGTTAATTATTCTTTCAAAATATACAGAGGAAAGTGCTCTCACCGTGAGAGGCTTGCTATGGAGGTCTGACAAGTCCAATTTCTAACTTGTATATCACAGGGCTCTGCTAAGTGTCTGTTCAATTCTCCTCTGGGTAGGAAGACAAAGTCCACTAAGAAAAAGTGCAACTTAGCAATCAACAATATCAGTCAATAATAAGAGTACTTACTGTAAACAAGGTATTATGACAGAATTTTTTTTGAGACAAGGGTTTACTACATAGCCCTGGCTGGCCTGGAACTTGCTATGTAGACCAGGCTGGCTTTGACCTCACAGAGATCCACCTGCCTCTACCTCCCAAGTGCTGGCATTAAAGATATGTGCCACCACAGCCGGCTCATATTTCTTAACGTACAAACTGAGCTCACAAGACATTTTGCTACTTGAAATAAGTCACATACAGTAAAACAAATACTGCACTTAGATGTGAGAGCTAAAAAGATGGCTATAATAATACACACTGTATGTTTCAAAATTGCTAAAAGAATACACTTTAAATGTTTTTACCACAAAACATGACACTTAGATGAAGTGACAGATATATTAATTAACTTGATTAAAACATTCCACATGTTGCTGGGTGAGGAAGAGCTGACCTTCTTAAAGAGGGTCTCATAGGCTAACTAGACCTCAGAAGATGAACTTGTACTGAGGGACCTCCGAGGACACTAACTTGACATGATAGGCCTTAACACAAGCAACAGAATGTATGAATTCCAGTGTGGGGGGCTATGGGAGGGTGTCAATGGGGAAGGGCTATAAAGATGATTAAGATGTTCTGAATGAAATACACAAAAATTCAATAAAAAAATTACCAAAAAAACTACAAGTCCACATGTATGGGGCTGGAGAGATGGCTCAGCAGTTAGGAGCACTAGCTGCTCTTGCAGAGCACAGGGGTTCAGGTCCCAGCACCCCACATGACAGCTAACACCACCAACAAACATCTCCAGTTCCAGAGGATCCAACTCCCTCTTCTGACCTCCATGGACATTGTACAACACAGATGCACTTACATATATGCAGGCAATACACTCATATACATAAAATAAAAATAATGAAGTATTCTTTTAAAAAAACATTCCACATGTAAACATGTAAAACATAACAATATATAGGAATAATAGGACAGACCTGTAATCTCAGCACTTGGGTAGAAAAGGCAGAAGGACGATGAGTTCAAGGCCAGTCTGGCCTAGATAGCAAGCTCCATGGCAATCTGAGTCACATAGCAAGATCCTGTCTCACAAAACAAAAGGCTGGAAATGTAACTCAGTGGTAGAGTATTTGTTTAGCACGCAAAAGCCCTTGGTTCAATTTCCAGCACACACACACACACACACACACACACACACACACACACACACACACACACACACACAAATCACAATATATCCATATCTTGACACAATTATTATTTGCCAATTAAAATAAAATGCAGAACTGTGATTCACTGCCTTAAAATTTTCTCTCAGAATCTCCACACTACATGTCAAACCAGTAAAATAGCCTCAAAATGTATAGTAGCCCAATGTCGGTTTGTATAATAATATCAAGTGAAAATATTTATTTCATGCATTGGAAAATTGTTTGCCTATTCAATGTTACCTATTTATGTAGAGCTCTTCAGATGTAATTTTAAAAGCCTTCAGTTAAAATTAATTAATTAATTAAATGTAGGGGTGGAGAGATGGTTCAGTGGTGAAGAGTACTTACTGTCCTGCAGAGGACCCAGGTTTAGTTTCCAGCACCCATGTTGGGCTGTTCACAGTCACATGTAACTCCAGTTCCAGGGGATCTGATGCCCTTTTCTGGTCTCTACAGGCACTGCATGCACATGATGCACATGATATACACATGCATATACATTAAAAAAATAAATAAAATTTAAAAGCCAGGCATGGTGGCACACTCCTTTAATCCCAGCACTCAGGAGGCAGAAGCAAGTGGATCTCTGTAAATTTCAATTTAGCCTAACCTACATAGTGAGTTTTAGGCCAGCCTGGTCTACATCTATGTCAGCCAGTGCTATATAGTGAGACCCTGTCTCAAAACACCTGAATAAATAAAAATAAAATGCAAGCTGGTGAGACGGTTCAGTAAG